GCAATATTCAATTGCTAATTTAAAATCATTGAGTATATACCGAATGGCGAGAAATTACAAGATATTGGTCAATAGCAGAACTAGGCCGCTATGGATATATGTATATGTCATGTTTGTAAGGCTAACGCTATCCTAATTTCTCTACTTCTAGCTATAAACTTTGGAACATTGTTTTTAATGGCATTCAAGCAGGCTGACGACTCTTCATTTCAAGATCGAACAATCGGTACAAAAAACCAAAACAAAAGGGAGGAGGGGTATGATGTTTGAATTATATATATATATATATATATAAAGGTCTATAGTGTACAAAGAAAAATAATTCCATGCATGCACGTCAAGAAGAGAGAAAAAAACAAAAAAAAAAAAAAGTCTTTCCGACCAATGTATACTTAAGAGAAAAAGACGTTATTGACAATTGCAACCATCAACAAACACAGGTCAATGGCCTTTATGATTCATGCATGCATCTTGTAAGCCCAATTATATAAGCGTGCATTTTGTGTTCGCTTAAATAAAAAAGATCGAATTCAAAGAGTTATGAATTAATTGATAAGAGAGTTTAGTTTTTTATTTTATTAATTAAAATTTGATTTTTTAAGAGATTAATGAAGTGATAATTTTTTAGAAATTTATTAATTTTAGTATGAATAGCTTAAATTTAATCGAAAAAAAAAGGAAGAAAATCTCAAAATACACATAAATTGATTTAGAAACACTTTAACCACTAAACTAAAGAAAATAATAATGATGATGATGATGATAATGATGATAATGATGATGAGAAGAAGAAGATGGAAAAGTGGCATGCTCTTCCTCAATACTTCCCGTTCAAGGAAATATGGAGAAGACAAAATCCGCAGAAATTAAGGAAGTATTCATTTCATAACTCATATTGCTTGCATCACTTGGCAGCAAGTAAGGATTGGGTTGGGGACGAATCATACGACACTTCTTTTTCTTTTTTTTTTGGAAAGGAAGAAAAAAAGATAAAAAGGTCTATATAAATGCTTTTATCACAAAAACTTCTCCTCTTTCAATAAAATCTGGCATTTTTCATGATGTCTGGACGTCCACTTGTGGTTTGTAGTGAGAAAATTATACATATGCAAGTGCTTTTTGTGCCTTTGCTTATTGTTATTCATTCCTTTTCCTTTTGTCTATGAATGCGACATTGCCTTGGCCATATCTATTATGCGACATTGCATAATACATCGTTGTTCTTATATCCTTGAATTTATACATTTTATACCTATATGAAAATAACAATTATTCACCTTTGCAATAGAGCTATACAACAATGTATGGTGTATTATGAGATATACCAATTGGGATTTGAAATCTTAAAAAATCTTATGCTGATCATATGTGATCTCCTTTAAGTCCCACATCAATTTATGAATAATTTTAAATTTTAAATCCCCATCGGCCAAAATCAACTTTAAATACAGATGGAAATTTAAGGGAAATTATATGAATGTCTCGTAAAGGAGTCCTACAACTTTAAAACAATTTTGTAGTATTTTTTTCACATGAATAGTATTATAATAATATATGATTTATTTTATTATAATTAAGCAAAAGTTAATAATAAAAAATATTAAAATAAAAAACTTAGAAACTGTAAATTCTTTACATATTTAAAATAGAAAAATAGATTTGAATTGAAATTTTTTAATATAATTTACCCAGTATTCTTAACATAAATTAATGGAGTTTAAAATGATTAAATGAAATAAATCATTTAGCATTCTTTTCTCTAAAATGATTAAATTAAAAAGGTTAGACCCCATAGGTCCTCAACTATTACACAGACCTACAATTTGGTCTCATAGCTTAAAAAATCCTTGTTTTAATCTCTAAACTTTAAAAATTTGGCCTTTTTTTTTTTGTCATATCATTAAATTTGCTAAGTTGGCTCATTAATGGACATAACAATAATGACATATATAAAATGTTTGACATGTTAGATTAACAGAATAGATAAATGAATGATCTGGCAAAATATAACGTCAAATTTATAATTAATTAAAATTTTTTTTTTATGTCATTCATTACTCATGTTGTCAATTCTATATATTAAATATTTTTAGACATGTCACTCTTCTCCCACTAATTAATGAGGGACCTTAGGAAAAATTTAATAGAGGACAAAAAAAAGAGCCAAACTTTCAAAGATTAGGGGCTAAAACAAGAATTTTGTAAGTTTAGAGTCAAATTGGGAGTTTGTATAATAGTTGAGGGACTCAATTTAAGGGGTTTAACCAATTACAAATGAAACAATGCACCATCCATTCAGATTCAGGTGAGGGCAGTTTCGTCCGTTAGCAAAGCGCGTGGACGTCACTCCCAATCACCAACCCCACAAAGTACGTTCGGTGGACCGCACCTCTTATCGGTAATTAATTAGTGAACTAAACTTTCATTCTCCTGAGATATTAATGAACTGAGTAATGATAGGGACTGACACGACAATTTGGAACTATTAGGATAATTGATGTTTTGTTATTATCCAATATTATAGGTTTTAAAAATATAAAAAATTAATTATTAAATAATATAAATTTTTTTTAATATTTTAAATAATATAATTTA